GACTGACAGAAGTGCCACAGAACAGGAAACAAATACGATTTTAGCAAACGACATTGGAATAGAAAACAATTCTTTTAAATGTGCTGTTCATCCCCTGCTCCAGTTTAGTGATGTTTGTTTAAAAGTGTTACCAACTAAAGAAAAAGAGTTAGGCATAACAACTGAAGGCCAAAACAAGGAATCTTCAACATATTTTCTTTTAAAATCTGTAGCAAAGTTTTTCTTTAAAGATGGTACTGGTGACCCTAACCTTGCTGCTGCATGAAAAACAAAGGGATTAAGAAAATACCAATAATGAAAATGCATGGAAACATGTTTTAATTCATTTTTTCACAATACCGCTGGTGATCATCTTCTCTCTTATTTAAAAACCTCAAACTCTTCATTGAACTTCATCAATGTCTTCATTGTCAAACTCTGTCTAATGATAGCATGACACCTAGTTTAACATCACCTGTCTAATGATAGCATGACACCTAGTTTAAGATCACCTGTCTAATGATAGCATGACACCTAGTTTAAGATCACTTGGTTTGTTATTCAAAATCGTCACGGAGCAATACTGGCAGAAAGCAGGAGGCGAGGTAGAAACAGCGCTAGATATGGTCGACATCTACAACAGAAATGTTGAGTTCTTGTCATGTATCATTGAAAATCCTAACATTATGTTAGTGTCAAACCACATCAAATTATTTGTTGTCCCCAAAAAAGAGCCAGATGATCTACTTGTTTCTTTGCTGAAACAATCAGCACAAGATGTTTATACAGATTTATTTTAGAAAGGTTTGTACTGTTTTAAAGTAGTAAATCATCTATTGAAAAAGAATTTCAATCCAATATAATATCAGTGACCAATTGAAAATGATTGGGGAAAGAAAACGTATTGTTAAAAGTAAGAAAGAAAAACAAAAGAAAGAAAACATCCACGAAAAAGAACAGACAATAGATCAGTATGGTAATCTTGGACTTTGGCAAACACTGGGAAAAAATGATTTTGAACTATCCAACTTTACAACGAACAAAGATGAATTGGCAGCTTAGAAAAACCAGTTGAATATCTGCAAATAACTCTTTACCATAGGAACAAAGGACAAAGTTCTGTTAAAGTTTAGTAGCCACGGAAAACAGTTCAGTGTTCAGGAACTTTCAAACAACCTAATCAGTGTTGTAGAAAAATATGTGTTTAACAAAATTCCAGTGTTTTAATCCACGAATGTAGATATCCTTAATTGACCACAGTCCCTGGTTCATCCACGAATGTAGAAATCCTCAATGTACCAGTCCCTGGTTCATCCACGAATGTAGAAATACTCAATGTACCACAGTCCCTGGTTCATCCACGAATGTAGAAATCCTCAATGTCCCAGTCCCTGGTTCATCCACGAATGCAGATATCCTCAATGTACCAGTCCCTGTTTCATCCACGAATGTAGATATCCTCAATGTGCCACAGTCCCTGGTTCATCCACGAAGGGAGAAATCTTCAATGAACCACAGTCCCTGGTTCATCCATGAATGTAGAAATCCTCAATGTACCAGACCCTGGTTCATCCACGAATGTGGAAATCCTCAATGTACCACAGCCCCTGGTTCATCCACGAATGTAGCAATCCTCAATCTACCACAGTCCCTGGTTCATCCACGAATATAGAAATCCTCAATGTACCACAATCCCTGGTTCATCCACGAATGTAGAAATCCTCAATGTACCACAGTCCCTGGTTCATCCACGAAGGTAGATATCCTCAATGTACCACAGTCACTGGTTCATCCACGAATGTAGATATCCTCAATGTACCACAGTCCCTGGTTCATCCACGAATGTAGATATCCTCAATGTACCACAGTCACTGGTTCATCCACGAATGTAGATATCCTCAATGTACCAGTCCCTGGTTCATCCACGAATGTAGATATCCTCAATGTCCCAGTCCCTGGTTCATCCACGAATGTAGATATCCTCAATGTACCACAGTCCCTGGTTCATCCACGAATGTAGAAATCCTCAATGTACCCCATTCCCTTGTTCATCCACGAATGTAGATATCCTCAATGTACCAGTCCCTGGTTCATCCACGAATGTAGATATCCTCAATGTACCACAGTCCCTGGTTAATCCACGAATGCAGATATCCTAAATGTACCACAGTCCCTGGTTGGAAAACATGTCACACACATTTTTACAGATGAAGGAAAGGATGAGGAATGGAAAGGGAAAGTGTGTTCATATCATAAAGAAATATTTTAGGTTGTCAACAAGATTTGTAATGACAGTACATGATGAAAACTAACCCTTTCACATCACCATTTCAGAAATCACCATGAATTACCTATGATAATGTTGCTACATGCATTTCCCCGTTTTTTATAAAGAGGTTTTTGCACTTGCTCAAGTAACTGTTGTAAATTATTTCCTGTGTATGGTCATGTGAAAAAGAGGTGTCATAATTATTAGCTATCAGCCAGTGCAGAATTGTCTGAATGCAATTTTCTCCATTCACTAACATTTCATGAATGGAAATGGATAAGGTTGTTTATACTCTTCAGGCATTTTTTTTAACAAATGCCACACAGTAACGCTTAGATCCCCCAAAACTCTGAATGAAATTATCTCCCTTGACTAACAGTTTTTGAATGAAATGGATGGGATAATCTATACTTTTCACGTTTTTTTTTAATAAACGCCACGGAGTAAGGCCCTGATCCCCCATAACTCTGAATGAAGTTATCTCCCTCCACTAATATTTCTTGAATGAAAAGGATGGAGTTTTCTATAGTCCAGGTTTTTGTCTTAACAATTGTTACAAAGTAATGCCCAGGTCCCAAAAAACTAAATTATCACTATCTGTCTCCTCATCACACATTTGTTGAACCCCATAACAAAAATGGATGTTTTATTTTGTCTGATTTTAAAAGCAAAGAAACTTTTGCTTTAATCTTAATTTCATAGTTAAACTTGCCAAATCATAAGATGGAATTTAATTGTGCTATAAAAGTATTTTAAAGAAACCAAAACAATCTTTCCCATTATGGCATGCAATCAATACATATTTACACAGTGAGTTTCATTGTATCCAACCCGAATCTCTATATAAATTTGATGCCATTTTTCGAACTTATTTTCATTTTATAAGTAACATGAGCATATTGCTTCAATTTAAAATACATCTAACATGCTATGCCTGTATTAAACAATCTTTACCTTTTTGCTTTAGGTTAAATATTGACAGTCTAATTACGATAGAGAGGAAAGTAATATTTATGAACTCACTCTTGTAGAAATGAAATCAGATATTGATGCTGGTTCCGTTAAATTTGAAAGTAATTCATTCTCATTTGTAATTCATTAAAGAAATACATAAAAAGATTTTATCATGGTTGGCAAAACAAAATATATTCTTATTTCATTCCTTATGAATGCTCATAAAAATATCCAACAATGTTATAAGTACCTGAATTTGCAGACATGACACATTTGTGTGGATATATTTTGTAAAACAGACTATAATGATAAAGTATATAAAAATATGTGGCAGTCATTTCCCTTTATTATTTTTATTACTATGTTTGTACTTATTGAGTTACCTCCCCTCATTAACATACTTCACTTGACGTTTACAAAACGAAATTCATTGAAACTGATTGGGCCAATGGCAAACAAGCGTTCTTCTAACATATGGATGCACTTAGCATTCTTTTTCAATGCTTTGCAATGGTTTAAACCGAACATTAAAAAAATAGTTGGAAAGGCTACATATTGACATAGAACAACATAATATGTCAACGTAGTGTATACGATTCAAGACGAAGGATATCCCAGCAGATAATCGAGAAACACCGCAATATCAATATATACAATATAATAATAAAACAACAAACCTTCAGGTATCATGTGTATTCCGTTTAACACTGATATATCCATGCATCATTCAACCGACATAATGCAAATGGCGAATGTTTATTGTGAGACTTGTATCGCCACCTGGCTAGACGAGTGTGTATACTACAAGAAAACAGAAGTCCATCTCTCAGCTAATTTAGGGTATGAGGTTACGTGAATATTGGATACTGAAACAAAAGTACATATCTGTACATACTGATATTTAGAGTATAGCTACGAGGCAATTGACTGACATCTTTAATTTGGTGCTGTCCTGAATAGAGATATAAACTTCGAATAATTCGGAACATTATGTTGCATGGATATTCGGAATAAACAAGACACAGTACGGTACGATATGGGAGTCTTGTTTTGTACAGCAAAAGGAACCTGTCATGTACTGTTTTAGGCAGAGAGAGTGTCTGCGTCGTAGATTTCAGAAAGAGTGTCCATGTCTTAAAAGCTAGGGAGATATGAGTTTGATACAACTTACATTACTTAGCTGAAATATTTGAGACGCACCGCAGACGTTACGAGGTTATGTTACTGTACGTGGATGTTACGAGGTTATGTTACTGTACGTGGATGAGATGTTCTTACAAGTGTACATGCACTTGTAATGAGACTGTGTTTAAATCTATGAATAAACAATAATTGTTACCTGGTTCCCTATATAAATCGAGGGGTCAGCTTGACATTCTCAATCAGTACTGTACAGCTCAAATTATCCACATTCCTAATAGCACTACCTACGGCATCGGGAAAAAAATCACCGGATTCATCCCGCCACCTCGGGAAAATAGTTTTGACTGTTGCCTGAAAAGGCATGAAATACCTGAAAACTAATACCAACTATTGCGAACGTTTACGGTTACTTTCTCACATCAGTCGATTAGAGAGATAGTATTACAATCTGAAGTCTAGGGTTCTTATCTCGGCGATGCAGTTTTACACTTGGAGCACTGCTGTCGATTATCTTTGGATTATTGAATCTTTCCATTTCACATATGGAAAAAAATCACCAATGCGTAGTAACAGTTGAAGAAACGTTAAGGGGATCCTGAAACTATTATTATTATTTTCAACAATGAAGATTTGATGAAGAACAAACGAAAATCCATAATGTAGAAATGATTTATTCCAATAATTACCACTTTACTTGGTAAAAGTGATTGAATGTCCCATTTTTGCTTGAAATGTGCATAACCTGTGGTGACACTCCGCAGGAGCTAGTGATTACCTGAAAGAAATAAACAACAGGCAAAGTCGACAAAGCCAAATACAAAAACAACAGGCAAGGTCGACAAAGACAAGTAAATGGACAACAGGCAAAATCCACAAAGACAAGTAAATAAACAACAGATAAAGTAGACAAAAACACGGCCAGCGTTAGCTTAGCTTAGCGTCAGTCACAAAAAGGGGTTGATTATTGCTTGTTATTTCAATGAAAGTCTTCCCAAAAATTGTAGGGAGCTTGTAAATTTTGCTGCATTTCTTCATAATATTATTCAATATCTAAGACACTACTGGCTAAATAGTTATGAAACTTCACATGAACATTGGTAGGCATTTATATATGTGCGTAACAAGCTTCATTTTCAAAACGGTCATCCAATATCGCCGCCTTGGCCTATAATTGATTGGCACATTTATGGGTGTACACCAGAGTATGCCAACTGTCCCTCTCTTTTTTATTCTTTCCTTTATTTAGCATAGATGGTATTATGACAATGCAAATACTTCTGATTCACGATTAAAGCGGCAGTTCCTGGGACTGTAACAGCCCCTTACAATAAGAACGTGTAATAACTGTATTATGAATATTTCTTTTCCACCTTTACCTTGAATTCGTCATTGGTCGCGCATCCAACAAACACTCCTGTCATGATATCATGGTGACCACTGTTGTAGAATGTTGCGACAGGTGAGTACATTGCGAGTGTGTTACAGCTTGTCGATACCTTCACATTAATAAACATTTAGCAATGGATTGGTTGTACATTCATACAATAACTAATCAGAAATAGGTCAATTAATTGGTTCACGTACCTTACAACAATCAAACGAAAATAAGTCAATGAATTCGTACAAGTACATTTGCAAATATAAATCAACAATCCCCAGTAATCATAGCATCGCATTGGTTCTAGATTATACCTTCATATGTTCTTAAATTTGTGCATATAAACCAGTCACATCGGGTTTTCTGTATCTTCTGATTGCGGTCATAACTTACATTGTAACGTTGTTTGTTGATGTAACAATGACACCCGAGCACACCTCGTTTTAATGACACTCAAGCACCTGCTTGTTAGACCCCGGTATTATGAGCAGTGCCTTCCGTTTTTGTAAGTCTCCAGTAGACATATGAATACATAGGTTCTTGACCTAAATTATAGCATACCTTATAACCAGCGACCCAGTCGGCAACGGATGCCGGAGCTCTACAATGCTGGATCACGAACGGTGTGAATGGTAGATGACCTTGACCGGAGCAATTCTCTGCGACCTGAAGAGCGACTGCTTGGACGACAGAGACCTTGTCACACACGTGATCAGACACGGGGTTCACCACTTAAAAAATAGCGATTCCGTCAGTTTAAAAGTGTTAAAGGTAGTTTGGCGATAATGGGGGGGGGGGGGGGGGGATATATTACGGACTTTTTTTAATAAAATAGGGATCTGTATATGCATCATTGTATTAAACGTGACAAATTAAAAGAGGCGGATTATATCACGGTTTTAACTTTCTGTTTTTTTATTGCTCAAAGTCAGGATTCATTTTCGGTAAAGATGAAGTTCTTCTATACATTGTATCAGTCATTTCAGACATTAACTCATTTACAAATTATTTCAAATGCCAAGGTTTACTTTCCCAGTTTATCATTTTCGATAAAGATGAAATTCTTTTATATCATACATTACAATTATATTTTTTCACAGTTTTAATGGAGGAAAGAAGATATTTGTGATTTGATACTGAATGGAATGTAGCTTTTCCATTATTCGCGTAATTATTTCAGATAATTAGACAAAAGAACAGACGATGGAAACATTTGTTACGGCAGGGAACGTGGGACGTGCACACTGCATCGTATGAGTTACCTATACAGATACCAGAGCGGAATAAAGAAACACTTCCGGTCACGGACGATCCGATAGTCTGTCATATTGCTTATCTTCCTAAAGAGTTGATGGATGCTTCTATAATTCAGTGTTATTGCATTAGAACTTAGTATATCTGGAAATGCGCTGTTTCGACTGAACTTCATTAAGAGTAAATAGAAGCTTCTGTAAAATTAATATGCCTTGAAAGGCTAAGAAAGCCATTACGATCGGGTGTGGTACGTGAACTTTTTCTTCAAACCTCTTCTTCTCAGAAACAACTCGACCGATTTCAACCAAATTTCGAAGAAATATTCCTATGTAAGTGCGAGTCTATTATTTGATTATACTACATGTACCTGATCATGTGCTTTTGTGACGGACCTTTATTAAGAGAAGATGGAAACATTTATAAATGTTATGTTCTAGTATACATTGGCATATATGTGACTGAACTTCCTTTAGAGTACATGGAACATTTATGAATATTTCGTTATTGTACAAGAATCTATACACTTGCGCATGAGCTGTAGTGACTTAACAGACAAAATAGTGGATATGTAAATACCTTTTAATTGTATTAGAATCTAGTATACATTGGCGTTTGTTCGGCGGATTGTTAGGAAGATCAATGACGAGCACAATGACGATGTCTTGTCCCTACTCAACATGTTACACTACATTGTCCCCACTTCGACAATACAGGAACTATGAAGTGTATAGTAACAATATATATATATGTTCAGATAGACCTTCATTTTGAATTACCTGGTTCAATGGCTGGTTTGTGACAATGTTTGAATTACCTGGTTCACATGCTGGTTTGTGACAATGTTTGAATTATCTGGTTCACATGCTTGTTTGTGACAATATTTGAATTACCTGGTTTACATGCTGGTCTGTGACAATGTATACATTACCTGGTTTACATGCTGGTCTGTGACAATGTTTACATTACCTGGTTCACATGCTGGTCTGTGACAATGTGTACATAACCTGGTTCACATGCTGGTCTGTGACAATGTATACATTACCTGGTTTACATGCTGGTCTGTGACAATGTTTATATTACCTGGGTCACATGCTGGTATGTGACACTGTTTACATTACCTGGATTACATGCTGGGTCTGTGACAATGTTTATGTTACCTGGTTTACATGCTGGGTCTGTGTCAATGTTTACATAACCTGGTTCGCATGTTGGTCTGTGACAATATATACATTACCTGGTTCGCATGGTGGTCTGTGACAATATATACATTACCTGGTTCACATGCTGGTCTGTGACATTGTTTACATTAACAGGTTTACATGCTGGTTTGTGACATTGTTTACACTACCTGGTTCACATGCTGGGTCTGTGACAATATGTACATTACCAGGTTCACATGATGGTTTGTAACAATGTTTGAATTACCTGGTTCACATGCTTGTTTGTGACAATGTTTGAATTACCTGGTTCGTATGCTGGTCTGTGACAATGTTTACATTATCTGGTTCACATGCTGGGTCTGTGAAAATGTTTGAATTACCTGGTTCACATGCTGGTTTGTGACAATGTTTGAATTACCTGGTTCACATGCTTGTTTGTGACAATGTTTGAATTACCTGGTTCACATGCTGGAATGTGACAATGTTTACATTACCTGGTTCACATGCTGGTCTGTGGCATGCTTTTGTTTCACTATGACTGTGAAGTCCGTAACAGTGATATGTACAATGTCTTGACTGAGTTCCCCCTCCACAGGTAACGGAACACTCGCTAAAAGTGGTCCAGACTATTGCAAAAATAAAAGGAAAATATCTTTCACTTTTCACTAATAATGATGATATACGATGCGGTTATATTTAAAATAAATGCCGTTATGATGAACATTTCGAATGTAACACAAATCTACATGTATATAGAGGAATAACACATTTAATAAAAGAAATAAGAAAAGAAAAAAGAAAAATTATCTGGTATATTGAGTCGTCAACGATAAAATATCAATAAACCTACACGAGAAGTCAAATCGGGGACCAGAAGTAAAAAAACAACAACATCATGACACCATCATGACACGAACAACAAACACACAGAACCGGCATCGGAAATATATTATTTGGACAGTAAAACTTTTCGAGAAATATATTTAGAACCCGTCATGTATATCCTGTCCAATCATGTTAGAAATGTCTAAACCAAATAAAGCTGGTTAACATGGAATTTAGTATAGCATAATGTCTTCGAAAACAGAGGTTAAATAGAATATAAAAGAAAATGAAAATATCTAACATTAAAGTGCCGGGGAACGTTCGAATAATGTTTTTGATGAGATATTTATTTTCTGAGAGAGTAGTCACGCAATCGTAGCAGTAGTGATTAGGCTATATATTCAGACACTGCCCGTATCAGCTGTAATTTACTCCAATAATTGAACTCCTGCACAGAACGGATAGCAAAGGGTCTTGCCATACCAAATGAAAATTTTAAACCAATTATTAAAAGCAAACCAATACATGTATTTCTATAACGCGCACGTAAACATCCACATGTGTGCTTCGTTCACTTGTTGATAAACCATTCTGCAACGCGTACTGCTTTCTATGATGGTATAAATATAGATATGCATTAAATATGAAACCTCCTTTGTGACATTTAAGGTAGCTATCTCATACCAGGACACGATACCAAGTGGTGACATGTTTCAGTTTGTGTATTTGAGTGTAATGAGTGACAGCGATTTGTACAGGTCCGACTTCTGGTTCCCTGCCCACAGCTTCCACTACAGTGGCTCCAGTTAGACCACTCCGGACCTAAAAACATGCCGAAACAAGACTATTTCAGAAAGAAAAACAAAATAAAGAGGACAGTTTCTTATAACTACACACTTATGTTGAGTATATGTATCTACCACCTGCTTTCATTTTTTTCTTTAAGACATTGTAATTAATAAATTGATAAATAAATTGTTCAAAAATAAATAAAAAATTGTACGCTTAAAAAATTATTGAAGATGCCTCGTTTTATCTGAGAAAATTCTGAAGCGTGCCAACTGTTGATTGCGTATTGTAAACATTCAATACGTATATATGCCTTTATATCACAGTCGTAACCTGATATACAATTTAATAGATTATTAAATTCCGCGTGTACTTCAATAAGGCTTTTTAAATTAATAGAACAACCATCTTCCAGAGAGTCAGTGTTATCCAAAATTATGAATATGACGTAATTGATGTAATAATGATAACGTCAACAATTAAGTTAAGACATTGGCTATTAGAGTCCAGAAAACGACGAACTCAGCAACGCGGACCTGAAAGTCGATATTTACTCCAACCTTTTCAATTAACTTTTAAATATTGGAGTACATTGCTTTCACAAGAAATGTCTTACTCATACATGTAAAATAAACTGAATACCACATAAAATATATATTAAGCTTAATAAAAAAAAAGGCATCACAAATGAATTTTCTATGAACCTGGCAGATATAAATAAATAAATCAACAAACTTTAATAAATATCTTAGTTTAAAGTAACAAGCGAATAAGCACAATTAAATTTTAACGTTTCATTTCACAACTATTGCTTTAATTATTCTAATAGTTTATCTAAATTATGGGTTGAGTATTCGAGTTGTTAAATGGGTGAATTAATCTGTTAACATACCATCATCTGGATTATGATTGCAACAGTGCTCAGCACATGAATAACAGCTTAGTCCTGTAAATTATATGTAAGCTCAAGTTGATATGCGTTATAAAACAAAAACAGCAAGCATCTTTTTTTCCTCACGACAGGCATTATGATTAAACATAAACAGGAAAAGCAACTTAAGGATGTACTCTTCTGAGGTTTCAGTCACGTTCAAATCTCGTTTTGATCTGGTATAGCGGGTTTTTATTAAATATACCAAAGTGTCATCTGTTTCAAAAGCAAACATGCATCTGAAAAATTAATCAAAACACTAGATGCCCATTGCTGCAGAGCTTTTTTTACGGGTTTTAAACAATATTACCAATTTGTCGGCAATTTTCAATATCTCAAAAATGTGTATTTCGTACACTGTACGCAATGCTAAAATTTCACCGTTTTTGACGTTATCACAAAAAGTGTTATTGTATCACTATTTTAACCGTAGGAAGTTCATTTTTGCTGTGCAAGTTTTAAATGTTCAATACTATGATAATATTAAACAACAAAGTTGAAAATTGTATACTAATTTATGTCAACTGAAGCGCTTTTGGTGTTTTATCCCGCAAAAGGTGAAAAATTAAACAAAAAATAATATTCAAAATGTAGCAAAAAATAAGTTAAATACCAGAACTCCTTATATCAATCGTTATATCTGCAAAAAAAGTGAAAAATTAGTATTTGTTTGCACTTAAAAAATGGGGGTATGGGGTAACATTAATTGCATTTCTGAGAGAACAATATAGGCTAAAGAAATTTCACTTCAATAATTGAAAAGAAAATGCAAGGTTAATCAATTGTGCAAACATTCATAACTTTCTGATGGCACACTTGAAAGGTATTGTACGAATTTGGTCTTCGTACGGTCAAAACGATAATTTTCTCCACAAGTCACACATGTTTAATTGGTCTGATCATAACAAAAAAACGAGCACACGAACATACAATTTTCTTTGTATTTTCTATTTTCTCATATTCGCCTTTTTCCAAAATTCTTTATAAGAGAAAAAGTTTAATGCAAGCATTTTTTTGGCTTCTCGGAAGTGTACATCCTTAAGAATGTTTTTAAGGTAGATGTTAAATTTCAATATATATATATATATAGGGCAAATTACTTCCGTAACGACTAGTAGCTGACATATTTGTCACATGGTATAAATTGAAATTCAATATTTCTAGGGAAAACCATTAACGTGTAACATCATATTTTCTCCTATTTTTCTGGTAGATAAGAAAGTTTAATATTTGTAGGGCAAGCCAATAAACATTTTCTGTCATGGTAGAAACCGAAGTAGAACAAACTAATAATTGCAACACAAACCCTAAACGAATGTCAACGAACTTGTATCCTTTTTGTAGGCTATAAGGTTAAACATTTGTAGGACAAATAACTCTAGGCCGTCCATCATTATTTGATGTAAGGATCAGACAGAAATTTTAGCTCACCATGGTGATGCAAACTTTGACCATCGCCACAGCAATCAGATTGACAATGAGAAGGACAGTGCGAATCTGCTCTTCTAGAATGGTAACCTATGTAAATAAAAAAAGTCGTTGTGATCTTTTTTTTTCTTTCATATTATTTGTATTCACAAAGAGTTTTGGTGATATATTTGGGAACCCTATTCAGTTACGGGAATATAATTTGTGTAACCTTTGCGCAATGCTATATCTATATAATAACTTATATTGCTCTCTGTAGGTTATTTACTGTTATTATATTTGTTGTGTATGCGTATGCTGTTTCACGTTTGATATATATTGCTTCTTTTGATTTTTTAGCTGACCAGTTTCATTAGTATGTGAATACTTTCAACACATGACTAGCATGCTGCTAACAACATCTTGTAATATGTTTTCATTACAAGGTCTCAAAAGTTAATACAACATTCTGAACTCAGCAATTAGTTACTTGATACGAATATAGTGGTAATATACATCAAATGCAAGAATTTGATATCATTGAAACGCAAATGTACAAAGAACACAGACCTTAAAGATTTTATTTTGCAACTAAACTACAGAATTATTTAAAATCTTGTCGATACCATCAGAGAAACTTATTGACAACGTTGATAAAGTGAAGCTTATACAAAGATTTATCTACAGTGTTCTGATTGCAAAACTTCAGCAGGACTTGACGGGGATAAGAACTTTGGACTTCAGATTGTAATACGATCGCTCTAACCGACTGAGGTACCAGGTCAACGAAAGTGTCCTGGTAAAAATGTGTTACAAGTATACCCAAAACGGGATTAAGGGGAGGTCACTGTGTACACGAAAACCACAGTGCAGTTGGACAGCTTTGTCCAAAGTTTGATGATATTTTATTTTATGTAACAATTCATTAAATTAACATTATTTGTGTTACGAAAACCTAAAACGTTGCGGACGCGTTCGGGGAATGAACAGAGACCCAGATCTATATTAGCAATCACAAAAAGATGCAATATGTCAATATTGATATCTAGTGTCCATGATCTGTTAATGAATTAATGAATGTATTGATGAATCGACCCTAACAAGAGACGAATACTCGATGAATATTCTAATCAATTCAATCCCAAATAAAGATATATACGAACTCCGGAATCACGCATGCGTACAGCTTTGTCAATGTCGACTACATTTATATCCATTCCTTAATAACTTGATACTAATTTCTTTAGAAGGTCACCTACAACGTAACAACCTGTGGAAATTGAACTTGAGTATAATGCAGGGTCGAATGCTCTTAACCTTAATTGTCTACTCTATTTAAAAAAGTGTATTTTATTATGCATTATTATTATCTAATTCATATCTCATTTCAAATAGAAATCGATCAAGACATACAGCATAAATGAGTTCAATACTATCCAGCATTACCTGAGCACGGCTTAGTTTGTAAAACATCAGTTTCAAACAGGTAACCCGACTGTAAAAAACAATTAGGAAAATATATTACTTCACGTGACAACAATGATAAAGCTGATGTTTCACTGCATGTGCATTGTAATATAAATACCCTAATTATACCGGTCACTTACCCTTTTTGCTACCTTTTCTGCCGAGGCACTACCATCAATAGACAACATGGATACTGTTGCTTATCTCCGGCTAGTGGACATATGATGTACCTTAACAAGTTCTCAAACTTAGTGGATAGTTGGATATTTAAGTATGTTTTGTTGTAGATTTTGTAATGATTTATTTATTTATTTATGCATGCGCTACGTGAGTCGACCATGGAAGCGAATGCACCTAACAAACATCTTGACATAACTATGACTGAGTGTTTGGCTGCTTCTGAAGTCGCTAGGACTAAATGATGGGAAGATATGAAAAGACATTAACGCGTCGTCACTGTTTATTGAAACCCCTGACTTTGTAAGCAGTAAAGCATGACATGTGCGTTATTATATTAAGTGTTGATTTCTTACTTAATTGGTCGCTTTCCGTTGGTCATGCTGCTCACGTAACAAAATAGTTGTTTCGTGCCTTTTAAGCCAACAGTCAAACTATTTCCCCTCAGCTTTGGGACCCAACTCCTTATTATTTTCCGTCGGAGTTGGGACTTAACTCCTGAGGGAAATAGTTTTGACCCTTAACTAATATGACATAAAACAACTATAGCATACCAAGCCTTCTGTGGCAACACATATATATCTTACAGGTTCCTGGTCTCTAGTGATTTGTAACCATCTGCCACTTCGTGTAAAGTCGGACGGTGTCAGACACGAACCCGTAGCAAGTTTTCCAGCCACTGGAGCTGTTGGACAAGGCATTGTCCGTATGACCACATCAGATGCAGTACAAAGACACTCTTCTGCTCCCAGGACTGGGATCAGACTGGCGCTTAGCATAAACAACACAAACCGTAACATCGCAGTTCTGAAATTGATTACTATTGCAACGTCATTCAAGTTTTGCAACATAAACATGTACATGTGTAACCTTTTCAGCGTAAGATCACTATTTAAGTAATGTAAGAATGTTCACATTATTACAAAAACGTCAAATGCTTTATATTTCCTACTCGAAAGAACCCCGTCCTAAATAGTTTTTTCTTGGCATGTAGGGATATCTTTAATTCAATTTATTCAATAAAATTTTGGACTACATGTCTGCATTGCTAGTTTGTATATTATCGTTGAAGACATGAACTTACATGATTTCATGTATTTTCTTGATTTTTCAGAAATATTTCGTAACTGTTTTAAATTAACAAATTTAAACAGGAATAGCATAATAAATTTTGTTTACCTCTTAACTCCACTTGTTTTGTAGTCAAATGTCTCGCGTATCGATGCCAGCTCCCAGACTAATGCTATATATGTATATAAGGTTGTGACCTGTCAGATAATTCCGGTATCCAAACCTGTCAAAAACAGCTTTCATTACACAAGTCAAAAATCATAAATCATAATCTAATGATAGTGTCATTTACAAGTGAGTTATATTGATCCATATCTTTTTTTATCGATTCATGTTATATCAGTTGAAAAAAGTGTATTGTGTTTGTATATTTCTATGTACAAGAAATGAAAACCTATTATTTGTTTGACTAACAATGCTTTAAAGATTGATAGTACTTAGTGATAAGTAAACATGTCCTACGCTGTGTCATTGACGTGAACTCCGCTGTCCATATGACGTGAAGTTCTGTTTTTATCTTTTCGTGAGCTCATTTGTGAACGCTATCAACTATATAACATGATAATATTTTTTCGAATTATTTTACATCTTATTTATGTTGTACCGATAAGTATGGACTTTTTGTGTTGGTGTATAAGATTCTTTTTGAACCTAAAAAAGAAATAATTTTGCCTTGGTCAATATCTCTATTTAACGTATATATCACACCATATTTACCTAACGTATTTTATTCTTAATTTAGGTGTTTTAAGCACATGTTACTGTTTCCACAGTAGTTAAGACAATTCGGATATCTAATTGGCTTGCCCCTACCGTCAACAATAAGTCACTGGAAGACGAAACAGCTGTGTGATACGGGTTAATTTGTCTTAATTTGTCTGTGTGTTTGTTACGTTCATCTTTCAAGATTTAAAAGACAAACTATGCCGGTTGATTCTGTCCCTGAGATATAATGCAAACTTGATACATGTAGCCACAATTATCACTTTTCAATATGGATTTTCACCTTTTTCGCCCCCAGCATCACCCGTAGGTCATAGAAGGACGACACAGACTTATGATGCAATGTTTGGCTCAATGTATCAATTACCAAAGGTTAAAGGTGAAATTACCTTTGTGCCTGCAAAGGTTAATAAGCTTTTTCGATAACCAAGGAAACCCTACAAACATACATTTTCCAATTTTTCGAAAGATGGAGTATTATGTTATCATGCTTCTATATCACAAATCTGTCCGAATACCCACTAATCATGAGAATACGGACCTGCATCATTCGTTCTGGATTTCGAAACCGCAAAAGAATCTAATAAAACGTTTTATCGCTGACTTCTTCTAGTTGCCCAACCAAGCCATTCTCCAATTTTTTCACTGTCACTCATTGTATTATTCAATCAGGGTTGCAATCGTTATATGATACTGTATAATCAAGAAGTCGAATAAATGAGTTGTGGATTTTGAAGAATTCAAAAGATCTTTTGATCAATCTTGAACAATTTCTTGTCAAAAATACTTCTATCATTACTTTTACTTTACTGTTTTTGTAATAAAACGTCCATTGTTGTGCTCGTTGTTTAGCTAAATAACCTTGAAAAGAAGTCCACTGAAATGTAAAATTTGAGTCATTTCATTTATTTTTTACATTCTGCAAAAATGATATACTAGTGAACATAATGCATCACTTTCAGTTATGCTTGTTTTGGTATGGGATTTTTTTATGATTAATTGTTATTTTCGGTAATACAACCTGGTCGAAATAACAGCGAACGATGTGTATTACAAAACAAAACAAAAAAATATAAAAAGTTAGCACATCACTTTTCCGTTTTTAACTTGCAAAGCAAATATTTCTGTTTTCAAAATTAATTCGATTTTTATACTGTAGATATGTCAGAATGTATCTCAATTATAGTTGAAATCTGCTGAGCCTTACGTGAATGTTTTCTGATTTCAGTCGAAATCACGTCTCGTATAGTTTCAATTTCCTATCATTATTAACACAGCTGTGAATAAATATCAGGTATGTGTCTACATATTCCGTTACAGTAGTGCCTAATATTAACGCCATATCATTCCAGTATGCGTTTTAAAGAACTTCTGTTTATATAACTATAGTCTAATGGGTTGTTCTCGTGCGTACAAGCCTTTATTATGTGATGTGTGTGCTCGCCTATGTCTACCAATGCACTCATAGAATTTATTATATCAATATATGCTCACAGTTCCTTGACGACGCAAATGTCAATTATTATAATATACTGACAGTACTGGTTTATGTTGTACTTGTCCTGCGATGTTACATCTACTTGTATCATTTCTTACTCTAGACCTGTTGGTGTATTTTATCGCAGAATCATTTGCATAAGTATTGACTGCATTAGTAATTCATATTGAGATCGAAGAAAAACACCAGGGGTTGTATTTGCCGCACTCTTGTTCATACAATTCCATAGAACTTTGTATTGCGATCCATCATATCTATATATCATGGAAAAGTTACGGAAAATCATGTACCTATTTATCTAATAAGTTATTTTTGAGTGTTGTAATTCAAATCAACTAGATAAAATATGGTTTTCATGAATATGCATTATAGTTTGTTAACCAACAATAGATCGATTCCATACCTCAATGCTTTTACATAATTTTAAAAAATCGCAGTCCCATTGCTCTTTGGATTTTCCTATATACAGAGACTTTTACGTACGTGGGGTTATAACTGTACAACTTATTATAGCGACATACTGTATAGTATATTTACTATGTCTCATAAAAGTCCTGCAAGGTATGGTTTTACTTTTGAGACATGATTTTCAAAGCTTTAGACAAGCCTGATAGAGTTGATATAGAACAAACAAGTATCGACAATGTACAAACGGTTTATTCTCATTATTACCATTTGACTTGGTAAAAGTGATTGAATGTCCCATTTCTGATTGAGATATGCATAACCTGTGGTGACATTCCACACGAGCTAGTGATTACCTGAAGTAAACAAACAACAGGAATAGTAGACATATACATGAAAAAAATAGAAAGCGAAGCATACAAACAATAAATAAAGTTGACATATAAGATTAGGTCATATGTATATATGCAGATCGTTTTTTTGTTGGTTGTAGTACAGGGTTTAACGTCCTGATGCCGATAGATTTTGGTCGTTTTAATATATCATTCATCATATATGAACTACCACCCTGAAATAATAAAAATGATCATAAAGCCCGAGATTTAATGTTAGACAGAGAATTCACGTTTCTATCCTGTTCTGTGTAAAACAAAGATACACAATTAAGTTCATGTTCGACCTTATGTGATGAGGACGAAAATAGAACTTGTCTGAGTTATGGTCAAGGTTGCAACTTGCGATATTTCATCAACATCCAACCCGTTATGAGGTTTCTAGAGTGATGGCAATTAGAGCAATACCATTATTTTCTATTGCTATTAACGATGACCTTGACCGAATCATGCCTTTTGAACTCGTCCGAGGTTTGTCCAAGTCAAACATGCATGTCTTGTTTCCTTCCGCGAATGAATATGGTTGTTAGAGCGATGACAGGTAAATGTACAGAGGGACGGACGAACAATGCCCTACCAAACGAGTCTAATGTTTCCAAGTCACATTTCCATGATACATACATTTCCATGATACATGGAATTTATCTGACCTATTCCCTTTCCCCAAAAATCAGCTGTAAAATGAAAGGTCACTGATGTAATTGGTTACCAATATCGACCAATATAACATACTTTTTATTTGCCCATCGTATATAACGAAGTTATACCAAATGTCAATATACAGGTCATCAAAGGTCACAGGTTAACTTGGTCATCGATATCGACCAATATGACCTACTATTTATTTTTATATTATAGGTCAAATTGGTCAACATTATGGTATAGGTTTTATTTTACCAAGTTATTCCAAAGTATTTGTATAGGTCAACAAAAGTCACTGATGGTAAAATTGATCATCAACAATAAGATATAATTTTCATTTGCACATAATATAACAATGTTTAGTACCAAAAGTCAATGAATAGGTCATACATCAAAATTGTCATCCATTTCGACCAATACGCGACTTTTTATTTGAATAGGGATCACCAAACCACAAGTCGAATAGGTCATTAATATTGATTGGTATTTCAAAAAAAAAGTATATGAATTACTAATATTATTTTTTTGAAATGACACGTCAATTTGCAGATCCCAGATGTCAATTTCCATCGTCCTGTGACAATTTTTTGTTAAGTAGTTCATAGTGACCTAATTTTATAAAGGTAAAATTCGGCATCTGTTTTTGATCCAACGTTTTAATGTCCATTGTGCTGTGACAATTTTTTGTAAAGTAGGTCATAGCGACCTACTTTTATTAAATTCAAGTTAGGCTTCTGTTTTTGATCCCAGGTGTCAATTTCTATCGTCCTGTGACAAGTTTTGGGAAAGTAGGTCACAGTCACCTAATTTTGTAACAACTCAATCGATTAGTTGTATATGAAATTTTGGGCTGTTACCCATAAGACCATTCAATTGAGACCAGACCAGACCAAAATGCTAGACCAGACCAGACTATGTTTTATAGTATGCCCTCCAGACTATGTGGCCAGGAAGCAGTCTACAGACTACATCTGCTGAAAGTTATTAAGCTGACAATGTTTGGATTCTGGAATGTATTACTGATGCTGTGTATAATTTCAAAATTTTAAATCCTAATTAAGTAAGCAATACCTGTACTTATATCAGATAATTATTGAGCTGACATTGGTTGGATCCAGATGCTGTACATAAGTCTATATGATTTCAAAATATATTTTTCTATCTGTAATTCAACAATGCTTCAGCTTGGATTCTGGAATGTATCAACACTCGGCGACATAATTTATTAGTTCCCCCACAATTAAACCTCCCTTGACCCCACTGCACTCGGCAAAGTGTCTCTGATCTGAACTGTAACGGGAGAGGCCGGTGGGACATGTGTACCGCGGCCACTTTACCCCTCCTGTTAACCCCCTCCTTACTATATCAGCTGCAGGTAACAAGACTTTATATAGCAGTTTTCGATTATTTATATTGGGTTAGAAAGATAAAAAGCATTTCCAAAAGTTGATTTGCACCAAGTCGCACGGATTGCTTCAACTTGTAAAATGCACAAAATTCTACACATTAAACTTTTGCCTGTACAGTTGTCAAAAAATGTTACTTTCGATGCGCAGTACGGCTAAAGCCCCTCGGCTATCGCTGAGAGCCGATAAAAAGTATTATGTCAATGCTTTCCAATTTGCGATTAAATGGACAGTACAGGGGACTTCTGTACAATTAGAACGTGTTATAACTGTGTTATGAATATTTCTTTTCCACCTTTACCTTGAATTCGTCATTGGTCGCGCATCCAACAAACACTCCTGTCATGATATCATGGTGACCACTGTTGTAGAATGTTGCGACAGGTGAGTACATTGCGAGTGTGTTACAGCTTGTCGATACCTTCACATTAATAAACATTTAACAATGGATTGGTTGTACATTCATACAATAACTAATACAAATAAGTTAATGAATTGGTACATGTACCGTACAACAATAAAACGAATATAAGTCAATGAATTGATGCATGTACCTTACATTAATAAAACGAAAATAAGCCAATGAATTGATACATGTACCGTACAACAATAAAACGAAAATAAATCAATGAATTGATACATGTTTTGTACAACAATAAAACAAAAATAAGTCAATGAATTGATACATGTACCATACAGCAATAAAACGAATATAAGTCAATGACTTGATACGTGTAGTGTACAACAATAAAACGAAAATAGGTCAATGAATTGATACATGTACCGTAAAACAGTAAACCGAAAAAGGTCTATGTATAGGTACATGTACATTTGCAATGATGAATCACCAGTCCCCAGTAAACATAGCATCGCATTGGTTCTGGATTTTACTTAAATGTTTGCATGTGAAACGCTCACATCGTGTTTTTTAAGCTCTCGATTTCGGCATAACTTACATTGTTACGCTTTTTACATGTATCAATCTACCAATGACACACACGCACCTGCTTGTTAGACCCCGGTATTATGAGCAGTGCCTGCCGTGTTTATAAGTCTCCAGTAGACACATGAATACATACAGGTTCTTGACCTAAATTATTGCACACCTTAGAACCAGCGACCCAGTCGGCCACGGATGCCGGAGCTCTACAATGCTGGATCACGAACGGTGTGAATGGTAGATGACCTTGTCCTGAGCAATTCTCTGCGACCTGAAGAGCGACTGCTTGGACAACAGAGACCTTGTCACACACGTGATCAGACACGAGGTTTACCACTGTAAAATTAATATAAAAAACAACAAACAGGAAAATGTCGTTATAATGCGTATTTTTGTTTTAAGTTTTCAAAGGAATTTAGGCGATAATTCGAGGGATAAATGTAACCGAATTTTTTTAATAATGTAAAGAGGATTTATAAATATATGATATTAAACGCAGTGGCAAATAACAGGGGGAGAATTACATCAAGGTTTCGACGTGCATAATGTTTTATTGCTTAAAGTCAGTATACAGTCAACACTATTCGGTCATTTAAGATATTGATAAGTTTTAATAGCCAATCCTTCGAAGATGTAATGGAGTTATTTATGATATTTGTGATTTGACACTTAATGAAATTGTTAAATTATTTATGGTTTAAATAAGCGGATCTGGACATGTTAACCTTTCATACTCATTTACAGATTAATTCAAATGCCAAGGATTGCGTTCCTTGGTAATCATCATTCACGTGATTACAGCAGATATTTTAACCAAACTTGTTTCTTAGTTGTTACTTTATCTCCATCAAATTGATCATATAAAACACAGGAAAGTCGAACTTCAAAATCGATACAAAATAACACTTGGAATAACGACAAAGCAATTAAACAAAAAACAAAACAAAACCGGACGATGAAAGCATTTGCTACGGCAGTGAACGTTGGACATGTGTAGTGCATTGTCTGAGTTATCTATAATGATATCAAGACGGCATTAAAGAAATACTTCCGGTCACGGACGATCAGATAATCTGTCATAGTGATGATCTCCCTAAAGAGTTGATGGACGCTTCTATAGATATCTTTTCATTGTATCAGAATTTGGTATACCTGGGACTGCGCTGTTTCGACTGAACTTCTTTTAGATTTGTAGGAGGCTTCTATAGTTACTTTTTAGCTCACTCGGCCCCGTTTCTTACAATCCAGCTGTTTTATTGTTTTGATCCAAGATGTTTTTGCTATGTTGCATCTTTAGTAAATGCTCTACAAAAGTGTGCGAAGGAAACAAATACGCAAATAAACTGGGCCAATAGCCAAATATGGTGTTTCTATGGACAGTAAGCATGCAGAAACGAAATCCTCCGCATGTGACAACCAACAAAACCCTTCTTCGAAAGAAACTGGTATTACAGGCAAGCCTAATATGTCTGTGGTTTAGTTAATTTGCTTCAAATAGTCAATTTTCAACGTAAATTGTGAACAATGATCATTTCACGCATTTCCACTGGGGAAATGCTGGGTTTCTATTTCTCTTTGTTATCCCATATCTCCTATATCAGTTGTTGAATGAATTTGAAATTTCATGTTCGAGTATACTATTATTTCCTAAATCACGAATATAACAACTAATTCTCTATCACTGATGAGGTCGGAAATGACCAGCCAACGCCCTGGTGTTTTAAGATGTTTTTTCTTTAAACTTAGAGTATTGACATCTGGCCAGAACTTGCATCTATGGAGTAAAACGAAGTTTTCAGAAAAAAATTAGCACATGGGCCAAATTTGTCAAATACACTTTAACAGCCTCTCCTGAAAAATATAAAACATAGTGTCATCATATTCAGTCATTATATTTAACACCGAGTGCTACAAAGTATGTTAAAAACGGCCATTTGGGTAAAAAAAAAAAAAAAAAAAAAAAAAAAAAAAAAACAATGAATGACCTTTAGTGAACAATAGAAAGTGTAAGTGATATTTGTCCAGAAGTTTACTTCCATCAATTACTTTAAGTTTTCCAGGGAAGGACCATTACCTTTCATATTGTCAAATTTGTTAAAAACATTTGAAATTCTTCTTTGAAGAAAAACAAGCTAGTGCCATTATATATAGTCGGTACCTTCCTTGTATGCTGTGATGCAAAAAGGATATTACATGTATCTTGACGTATATTCAAGGTCACAGCATTAAAATTCATTTGAAACGTTAAGGACTTCCTCTGAATAGCAAAACGACAAAGAGTCATGATATATGGCCGGTATCTTGTTGGAATGGCGTGCTACACCATTGAAAATACATTTAAGGTCATCTTTTGTCAAAATACTCAAATGACTTCTTTTGAACAACCAAAATGCTTAGAATGATGATAAATTGCTAGAAGCTTACTAGCATGGCGTGATTTTATAATAGTGATAGTAGTAGTTTGAAAAGCCATATTGATATTGATCAAAAGATCGTCTTCATGTCTCGTTGGATTCTTGTTACTATAACGGAATCAGGTATAACTGGGCGTGCGTATTTGTGTCTGAACTACATTAACAGTAAACGGAGGGTTATATAGGTGTATCTGTATTGTGTAAGAATCTAGTATGCCTGGTCTTGCGCCGATGCAATTGGACTTCCTCAACGGTAAATGGAGGCTTCTATAAAAATCGTTTCATAAAATCTAGAAAACCCGGGCATGCTTAGTTTTCACTGAATTTTATTTGAATCAGAGATAAATTGTAAGCTTTTAATTGTATCAGAATCTAGAATCATCTATATATATATATATCTTTTATTGTATTATCATACAGCATACGTTGGCAAGCGCTTCGTTCTGTGTACATAGAAGCGTGCATACATATTTGTAATTGAATAAGCAACTAAAATGCATGACCAAGCACTGTTGTGACTGAACTATATTAAGAGAAGATGGAATCGTTTATCAATATTTGTTTTATTGTATAAGAATCCAGAGTACCTGATCATGCGCTGTTGTGACTGAAATTCATTAAGTGAAGATGGAATCATTTCTTAATATTTGTTTAATTGTATAAGAATCAATAATACCTGGGCATGCGCTGTTGTAACTGAAATTCATTAAGAGAAGATGGAATCATTTATCAATATTTGTTTAATTGTATAAGAATCAATAATACCTGGGCATGCGCTGTGGTGACAAATTTGCGTTTGTTGTGTGGAATTCAAAGAAGAGCAAAAAAGAGTACAATGACGATGTCTTGTCCCTACTCCACATGTTACACTGCAGTGGCCCCAGTGCGACCATACAGGAGCTGTAACGATCAAAATAACAATAGATACGTACACGGGTTTAAAGGAATATCGATATCTGGAGACCGTTATTGGTCATATAACAGTGTATTTATATCCAAATATTAAAGATATTTGTTTTTCTTACATGAGAAACAAACGAAAAACCTCGAAAGCCAAGGTGGTCTGAACTACTGCAGAGGTACGTATAACCAGTTTATGATTACAATATGAATTTCAAATATGAGAGGATTAAAGGTTAATTTCAATTAGCAATGAGCAACGTTTTATATTGGGAACTATGATACTACTATCCTATACTATACGTTCATCTTTTAAATATACAAAATATGTATATACGGGTAGCCTTTTATTTAAACAAAATAGATATATAATAGGACTGTTTTCCCAATGACGATTTATGAAGGGTTAAACTATGTGTTTGTGGGGTATTCTGAAATTGAAACCTGAACATGTGTTTTAATATTATTACCTAGGGTGCAGCAGTTATGACTGTCGCAGAAAGCGCCACAATGTACTGTAAGACAAAACAACTACACCGTAAAGATACATAAACATTAACAAAACAATGGCTATATGTAATCAAAACAATGATAATACCAAACCGGACACAGAAGTGCTTAAACATCTGTTGTGGCCAGTGGGACAATACTGAAACTGTGAATGAGAAATAAAAATGACAAAGTTTATATATCGCTAGTGTGGTCATTTGATTTCATTTTTGACACTGGCGTTAATGCACATTAGACTTAAGAGACGAAACACTCGAACAGGCAAATTCAATACAAGATGTATTAACTGGAGTACCTTAAAATATGAGTCATGTTTTTTTTTAATTTTAATCTTACTTTTTTTATTCTTTAACGATTTAAAAATTCAAAACCCCAGAAAAGTTCTAAATTTATTAAACAAAATATCAAAAAGAATGTTGCATGTTATAACACAATCTTCGCCTTTTAACGTAGATGCAAAAAAAAAAAAAAAAACATTGAAGGAGGCATGATTATGTTGACTGAAAATGGATCACAAAGTTTTCAGAAAGGTCAATGTTCAACATGGTAAAACTAATGAACTTCAGACAAACATTTTAATTTGGATATATATCTGTATCCCTATTTTTTTTAAAAAAATTCTACAATAATTAATTAAAAGTTATTACATTTATCATGTGAGACAATCTACATATACATGTATATATATACATATATATATCCCTCAGCACAAATTGGGGCTGCCAGAATTGAGGAACTCTGGGTTCAACCTCCTTAACAATGTATTGTCATCACCTACGAGGGCTTTCATTCAACACATACAATACATGCATACATACGTAGGTGCGTACGTACGTGCAAACATACATACATACATACATACATACATACATACATACACACATACATACATACATACACACATACATACATACATACAGACATACATACATACATACATCCATCCATACATACATACATACATCCATCCATACATACATACATACATTCATACATACATACATACAGACATACATACATACATACAAACATACATGCTTACATACATAAATACGTAGATACATACATACTTACATACATACATACATAAATACATACATACATAAATACATACATACATACATACCTACATACATACATACGTACATACATACGTACATACATACGTACATACGTACGTACGTACATAACAACCTACCTACCTACCTACCTACGTACCTACATACATACGTACGTACATACATACATACATACGTACGTACGTAAATAACAACCTTCCTACCTACCTACCTACATACGTACGTACGTACGTACATAGATACATACATACATACATAAATACATACATACATAAATACATACATACATACATAGATACATACATACATACATATATACATACATACATACATAGATACATACATACATACATAAATACATACATACATACATAAATACATACATACATACATACCTACATACATACATACATCCATCCATACATACATACATACATGCTTACATACATGTATGTATGTATGTATGCATGCATACATACATACATACATGTATGTAAGCATGTATGTATGTATGTATGGATGTATGTATGTATGTATGAATGTATGTATGTATGTATGCATGCATGCATGCATGCATGTATGTATGTATGTATGCATGCATACATACATACATACATACATACATACATACATACATGCTTACATACATACATACGTAGATACATACATACGTACATACATACAGAAACGTTATATTTTTCAAATTAAAAGAAATGTAAAGGGGCCGAAGTATGTATCTCTTATTCCTTACTTCATTATTAAATATTTGCTCAAACATACCCCATTTCCTTTTAAAATTTGTTATATTTGTTTTTTTCTGATTGCAGCATACTTTTCTAATCTCACTGTTAATCAACATGTAGATATATATATATATATTAGATCTCCTTGATTCCTAACTTACACAAGACAAATACATACATGTGCCATTATAATCATAGTATTATACTATTGTAGTCGTTCAGCAAACTAATATCATAAAAGTGGCTTACGTTTTTTCAATGTACGATATTCAGTGTAGTTTTCTTAAAAAGCTATATTTTCAATTTCATTCAAATATTTGTTATCTTTTTACAGATTATTAATAGAATAACAAGATTCATGCATATATCGCAACGCAAAATAGAAGTATTGCAAAACGCTTTGTATCAGTTTTGCCAAATACTTTGGCAGTTAAGAAGATTTGTAAAATAAGATATGTATGTAGCGTATTTATTCATGTACATTTCATAGGCAAAATGACTATATTTAAACTGGAAACAAAACTTCTCAACCGTGAACAAAAGCCATTGACATACCTCCATGGTGATGGGTGGGGGAACCAGAATGTACACCACAACACTCAGTAGGACACTCGTGTCGACAGTAAACTGATTCAGAGGTAGCACGCATGGAGCGGTGATCTGTACAATACCAACTTCATTATTATATGTAGGTATTACTCCGAACTTTCTTTTTGTAACAGATACCCATATGTGAATATACCATAATAACATGATAAAAGGTACATACGATATATTGCCACAGGAAAAAAAGAAACGCAGGGTAAACATTTGTGGTGATGAAGGTGAGTTAATGTTAGGTATTCGAATGGTATATGTTTGGTCTGTTTATTATTAGTATAGACATCATCTTATAAAAAACAAATTACCAAAGTATCATTAGATTTTGACTGATAAATCATGAGTGGTTGAAGCACATTTGACGGTATGTATTATTTCACATTGCCTAGACGAAGGTATGAAGAATGTAAAAATAAAAGAGTTTAACACTGAGAAACCCATTGCAGCGTACCTGAATAAAAGTTTAATGAAACACTTGTCAAAGGACAAATGACATACTTAATCTACGAAAATTAAATTAAACAAAATCGTTCATCAAAGAATACGAACTTTAATAAATATAATGCGCAAACGGCAAACGGGTGTAATGAGCTATTCAGTAAAGAAATATTTTCAATATATCGTCAAACGCTAGAAGCTTGATACAACAAACATTGAAGTTACAGTCCTCAGTGTAAGGTGGGGGTTATCTCCCTTGGTGCGTACGTTTATGATATAGCCAACGGAATGTATCAAATTACATGTTATAGTGTGATAAACCAGTTTGTTGACTATATTTAATCAGACATGAAAAAAAACATCATTATCGCTTTCACGATACAAATGTTTAAGCTGTATTATAGATAGACAGTTGTACATGTATAAAGATAGTATCGTAGTATTCCTCTAATTTACAGTCTACATACTAACAACATTGCTATCCTCTTGTGTATACTTGTATTATCAGAAGTCCTTTAAGTGATAGTTTTAAAAAGTATTATAGAAAAATTCGAAAAGACAATGAACTCAAACGAATTCCACGTGGTTAAAGCTAGTTTAAGATAAGGACATATCTTTGTATATGTATATTTCTGTATATATTAGATACATACATACATACATACGTACGTACGTACATATACATATACAAAGATATGTCCTTATCTTAAACTAGCTTTAACCACGTGGAATTCGTTTGAGTTCATTGTCTTTTCGAATTTTTCTATAATACTTTTTAAAACTATCACTTAAAGGACTCGGAATCACAGTAAGACATACAAAACGCAAAGGCCTGTCATACGTATGTCTTACTTGTATATGTATATTTCCGTATATATTAGCCTAGATAATGTAATACCTGGACCCCCCCTTGTATATGTATACTTCTGTATATATTAGATACATACATACATACATACGTACGTACGTACGTACGTATGTATGTATGTATGCTATAATACTTTTTAAAACTATCACTTAAAGGACTCGGAATCACAGTAAGAAATACGTATGGCAGTGATTTGCGTTTTGTACGTAATCACAGTAAGACATACAAAACGCAAAGGCCTGTCATACGTATGTCTTACTTGTATATGTATATTTCTGTAAATATTAGCCTATATAATCTAATACCTGGACCCCTCCTTGTATATGTATACTTCTGTATATATTAGATACATACATACATACGTACGTACGTACGTACGTATGTATGTATGTAAGCTAATATATACAGATATATACATATACAAAGATATGTCCTTATCTTTGCTTTGCGTTTTGTTCGGAATCACAGTAAGACATACAAAACGCAAAGGACTGCCATACGTATGTCTTACTGTGATTCCGTACAAAACGCAAAGCACCGCCATACGTATGTCTTACTGTGAATCCGTACAAAACGCAAAGGACTGCCATACGTATGTCTTACTGTGATTCGGTACAAAACGCAAAGGACTGCCATACGTATGTCTTACTGTGATTACGTACAAAACGCAAAGCACCGCCATACGGTATATGTATATTTCTGTATATATTATCCTATATAATGTAATACCTGGACCCCACCTTGTATATGTATATTCCTGTATATATTAGCCTATATAATGTAATACATGGACCCCACCTTGTATATGTATACTTCTGTATATATTAGCCTATAAAATGTAATACCTGGACCCCACCTTGTATACGTATACTTCTGTATATATTAGCCTATAGAGTGTAATACCTGGGCCCCACCTTGTATATGTATACTTCTGTATATATTAGCCTATATAATGTAATACATGGACCCCACCTTGTATATGTATACTTCTGTATATATTAGCCTATAAAATGTAATACCTGGACCCCACCTTGTATATGTATATTTCTGTATATATTAGCCTATATAATGTAATACCTGGACAGCTCCTTCGATGCACACCGTCTGATTCAAGCAAGTAACCCGTCTGAAATAAGAAAGATATATATTTATTTACCTGCATTATTACGTATACAAATATTTTTAATAAGTTTTGCTCGTTACACAAGTAATTTACTCAGTAAGTATTATCTTTCGTATGTTTTTATATCCGTATAACTGTAGACAGCGTATTTGAAACGCTATTTAGAACGTCGTGGTGTATGAGTGTAACTGACATACGTATGTCTTACTGTGATTCCGTACAAAACACAAAGCACTGACATACGTATGTCTTACTGTGATTCCGTACAAAACGCAAAGCACTGACATACGTATGTCTTACTGTGATTCCGTACAAAACGCAAAGCACTGCCATACGTATGTCTTACTGTGATTCCGTACAAAACGCAAAGCACTGCCATACGTATGTCTTACTGTGATTCCGTACAAAACGCAAAGCACTGCCATACGTATGTCTTACTGTGATTCCGTACAAAACGCAAAGCACTGCCATACGTATGTCTTACTGTGATTCCGTACAAAACGCAAAGCACTGCCATACGTATGTCTTACTGTGATTCCGTACAAAACGCAAAGCACTGCCATACGTATGTCTTACTGTGATTCCGTACAAAACGCAAAGCACTGCCATACGTATGTCTTACTGTGATTCCGTACAAAACGCAAAGCACTGCCATACGTATGTCTTACTGTGATTCCGTACAAAACGCAAAGCACTGCCATACGTATGTCTTACTGTGATTCCGTACAAAACGCAAAGCACTGCCATACGTATGTCTTACTGTGATTCCGTACAAAACGCAAAGCACTGCCATACGTATGTGTTACTGTTATTCCGTACAAAACGCAAAGCACTGCCATACGTATGTCTTACTGTGATTCCGTACAAAACGCAAAGCACTGCCATACGTATGTCTTACTGTGATTCCGTACAAAACGCAAAGCACTGCCATACGTATGTCTTACTGTGATTCCGTACAAAACGCAAAGCACTGCCATACGTATGTCTTACTGTGATTCCGTACAAAACGCAAAGCACTGCCATACGTATGTCTTACTGTGATTCCGTACAAAACGCAAAGCACTGCCATACGTATGTCTTACTGTGATTCCGTACAAAACGCAAAGCACTGCCATACGTATGTCTTACTGTGATTCCGTACAAAACGCAAAGCACTGCCATACGTATGTCTTACTGTGATTCCGTACAAAACGCAAAGCACTGCCATACGTATGTCTTACTGTGATTCCGTACAAAACGCAAAGCACTGCCATACGTATGTCTTACTGTGATTCCGTACAAAACGCAAAGCACTGCCATACGTATGTCTTACTGTGATTCCGTACAAAACGCAAAGCACTGCCATACGTATGTCTTACTGTGATTCCGTACAAAACGCAAAGCACTGCCATACGTATGTCTTACTGTGATTCCGTACAAAACGCAAAGCACTGCCATACGTATGTCTTACTGTGATTCCGTACAAAACGCAAAGCACTGCCATACGTATGTCTTACTGTGATTCCGTACAAAACGCAAAGCACTGCCATACGTATGTCTTACTGTGATTCCGTACAAAACGCAAAGCACTGCCATACGTATGTGTTACTGTTATTCCGTACAAAACGCAAAGCACTGCCATACGTATGTGTTACTGTTATTCCGTACAAAACGCAAAGCACTGCCATACGTATGTCTTACTGTGATTCCGTACAAAACGCAAAGCACTGCCATACGTATGTGTTACTGTTATTCCGTACAAAACGCAAAGCACTGCCATACGTATGTCTTACTGTGATTCCGTACAAAACGCAAAGGACTGCCATACGTATGTGTTACTGTGATTCCGTACAAAACGCAAAGGACTGCCATACGTATGTCTTACTGTGATTTCGTACAAAACGCAAAGCATTGCCATACGTATGTCTTACTGTGATTCCGTACAAAACGCAAAGGACTGCCATACGTATGTCTTACTATGATTCTGTACAAATCGCAAAGGACTGCCATACGTATGTCTTACTGTGATTCCGTACAAAACGCAAAGCACTGCCATACGTATGTGTTACTGTGATTCCGTACAAAACGCAAATGACTGCCATACGTATGTATTACTGTGATTCCATACAAAACACAAAGCATTGCCATACGTATGTCTTACTGTGATTCCGTACAAAACACAAAGGACTGCCATACGTATGTCTTACTATGATTCTGTACAAAACGCAAAGGACTGCCATACGTATGTGTTACTGTTATTCCGTACAAAACGCAAAGCACGGCCATACGTATGTCTTACTCTGATTCCGTACAAAACGCAAAGCACTGCCAAACGTATGTGTTACTGTGATTCCGTACAAAACGCAAAGCACTGCCATACGTATGTCTTACTGTGATACCGTACAAAACGTGTACAATCAATAGTATGACACTACGAAGCAGTCTCGTCCCAAGGTTTTGTCAGTTATCCAGTTATCCACACTGTGTGATTTTGTTGTATTGAAAGGGAATATATTCAAATCCAATAGTAGCCAAATTTTTACAATGTTTCTACGTGTAGAGTTAATATATTCACCCCAATCATACCTTTGGCCATACAATATATCACGTTCTGTGAATAAATATAAATGCATTAAGAGATGTGATCGCCATGGACTAAATATAGGTATACTCAATAAGCCAGAACTATGTCTGAAACTACTGGTGTTCTAAATCCTAGGTTTGTTTTGAACACACACAGACATTGACAACGTACTTAGCGAGCTGACATGTTTGTTTACTCTACCAATCCAAGAGTGTAAATAAAGTGCTCTAGTACATTTAACGTATAGGAACGTTTTCTTTGCATGGTTGTATATTGTAGCTATGGAATGTTCAACAACTGTATTAATTCCGTCTTTTCGTTTTTCAGAGTTATCTGCTCTTGTGAGCATGTATTGATTGTTACGTCATTTGTTTGTGAGAGTAACAAAAAATAACAAAAATGTTTCATCAGCAAAAATCCGAAAAGACGGAATACTTGCTTTTTATTCTTTTCATATGGAAACATGATTTAAAATCAGCTGAATCCATATTTATTAAATTCATATTAAATGATCATTTCTTAAAAAGATTATAATTTACCTTATTATTAGATAGAGCAAGTGTATATAAACAGAGTATGTAACCTACCTGTATCCCATTCCCTACTATCTTTAGCCATTCACCAGTTCTTTCAAACTGAGAAACATTTAGGCATGATCCCGTGGCGAGCTTTCCGGTGACAGAAGCTGTTGGACTAGGTAATTTCCGTATTACGACATCAGAGTCGGTACAAAGACACACCTCTCTACCAAGGACTGGAAACACGCTGACACAGAGAACTAACAGCACAGTTTGTAACATCATGGCACTGTAAAACATAACATTAGAATACGTTATTTTTCAAATATAAAATAGTGCATGGTTAGATCAGTGTCTCCCATAGTGGCCAATATGTTCATGAAACGTGCAAGAAGTAATAGTCACTACCCTTACAGGGTTCACGCTTAATTGGTGTGTATATCTCCCAAAGGATCAGTGTTAAAGCATTTAGATTGTATTAATGCTATAACCGATAAATTCGTATGTGTTTCGGATTTTTGCTGATGAAACGTTTTTGTTATTTGCCTTTTCTCTTTTGATGGACATTGATCTTGCTCTCGAAACTACTCAAAAATATTAAGCTCAATTAAACGTTAAAAGCTGGTGTATATTTTTCATATCAACACAGACATGTGCGCGTAATGCTAAGTGCTAATGTCAGATTGGCTCACTATGGAGAAAAGTATATCATATGTGAACAATTGATACAAAATGTAAAACCATTACGGAAACTTACTTTTAAATGATTAGGACAATCACATGTAAAAAAAATCGTAACTAATGCTTGGCTGTTGGCGAAGGAAACATTCTTTTTCGGTTAACATTCTTTTTACAGGTGCTCTTGCTATAGTATCTAGTTAACCACCTTTTGTGGCATATGGGAGCTCAACCCTTTCTATATTCTTAAGATTCCGGCAGATTCTTAATTTGCCAAACACTAGGCTTAACCGGGTGTTTGGCAGTATTTAGGAATATTCCCGCGAGTGATGAGGTATTTAAGAGGGTTGATTTTTTCCCTTTATCCTGTAATACATTGTTAAGGCAATGTTGACGTAACGTTTGTTTGGTGTTGTGACTTCAATACATTGTTAACGTCACATCATACAACATGTTTATAGGTTACCATCGCCTCAGCCTTAGAGTAGGAAACAGTCGTCTCACAATGGAAAACATGTTGATACTCAGTCCAGGGTAAGAAAAACAAATCCTATCGTGAAGGTATGACTACAAAGCCAGGGGGTGATCGTGTGGCACAGTGCAACTTGGATAGCGCACATGTCTTTCAAAATGGCGGGTACTCTGGTTTCCTCCCACAGTAAGGCACCCGCGCGCTGACATCCGGGCCAGCAAGAGTGATAAGTATAAGTTGTAAAACCTTGTTTTATAATTGTTGCTAAATAAAATGTATAATTTACAAATCCAAACTGTTGGGTTATTATTCTTGAAATCCTCGAAACTGTCGACCTCAACATGACCAATCGCTAGGCTGATACCCATCCTTTGAAGATTACGGAAGCAACACCCACCTTCAAAGACAGCCAATGTTACCGCTATGTGACCGACAGATTCTTTCGATTTACATCAAAGGATCAAACAAGTCTTCTCGTCTCCCCCATGACGCGGTGCACACTCGGCCTTCGATGGTGCTTGGACATAACCCATGGTTGCAAATTGAGCGTAACTCTTGAAGCATCGAGGATGCGAAACTGCCTATGTAACACTAATTTATCCTGCTCTAAAACAAATATTTACAGAACTGTTTGTATAACAGGCAAACTTTGACATTAATATCAATTTTACATGTAAAACTGTAATCACTAAATGCATGTTTACCTGTAAACGGAAATGGTGACCGGAATGTTGTTATCCTCTCTGACAACTCGGACTAGCTCGTGCCTATCGCTATCTAAGGTAAATGTCGTATAGGTGTGTCTAGGTCATACATAGTACTTACATTATATAACAGACAGGTAATTTCATAATACAAATCATAGTTTGAACATTTACTCGAACTTGTTTTTTTGTCAAATGTTTATAGCAGGCACATGTAGTTTGCAGGGAGTTACATCCGTTTTTTATCTACAGGTTTTGAAAGTGATGGCTTCAGACAGACTGATGACTGTGCAATATAGCTGGTTGCTTATTCAAGATATATAACAGCAAAAAATAGCAATCAAATTATTTTTCCCCTTCTGTCTGAATCCATCACTTTCAAAACCCGTAAATAATGTTTTACAGTTTTCTAATCCTAGCCACACGAGATTATACCTCATTATGACCGAATCCACATGTGATCCCCTCTGTAGTGTCTGCGTTCATCATATTGTCGTTTCATTTTGGTGTCATTTTGTTTTAGAGTTTGTTCATGTCTGTCAACACTGATGTTTGTTATAGCTTATCTATGGTATTAAATGAAAATTCCAGATACAGTCTCCATTAATACTATCTTGAAAATAGTTCAAAAATATCTATTATAAATCACAAGAGAAAAAAAATGCTTGCAGTAACAGGAAAATGTATAGCGAGAACTTTCTTCCCCTATATAATGTAAACGTTATATATTCTACAACAACTTATTACAATCACTGTTGTTGGCCTTGCTGACCATACCTTTCAATGTTCGATAAAACCCTGGCCGCCGTGGTGAAAGGCAGGTTCATTATCCATTGCACCATCCGACCAATCTATATAGGAATCGCCGGATGCATTATAACATCATGATGCCATCTTGTTCCTGTTTTATCTTCAGAGTTCATACAAAGGAAATTAAGCCTACAAGGTTGTGAAGAGAGTAGAGAAAGCATGTGTTCAAAAATTGCATTGGTATTTTGAAAATGAATACTGCGCCAAAAATAACCTAGCGATGTCTTGTTACAAAGTAACATCATTCGAGCCAAAGTTCAATTGAATAAAACATAATAATTGCAAGAAACATCCAATTAAGAAACACAAGAAGTTAGGAATAACACAACGCCAACGGACAACATCTGTGATGCTGCAAAAGATACATGGGCGTAGAATATGTTACAGAATCCGGTTAGCGAACCGGACGTGTTAGTGGTTAGTAACTACTGGGCAAGCAAACGAAAGAGTTGCAAACAAATCAGGGACTTTTTTAACGAATTTAGGAGTAAGAGTACGAGATTACTAACCACATAAACAGAATAAACCAGTAGCGTTACAGTTACAAATATTTATAGGGAAATCACGTTAGTAAGTGATATTGCCAAGCTGTTTGTCGCCCTCTTGAATAGTGATAATGTAATACCGGTGCTCTGTTCGGTTTAAAGCCCGGTCACAAATAAATAAAGTTCTAGGACTACAGTTTCCTCACACATTAAGACCCCCTCCTCCGCGCGAACATTCAGGCCAACACGGAAGAGTGAAGATGAATAAGTTGTATTATCGTTGTCAAATTAATAAAGATTATATTTATAAACAAAACATCCACTACCCAAGAGTAATTGGCTTAATATCCAAAACTATTCAGTCTCATGCTTGTACGGAAAACATCATAACTAAATCACAAATCTACCTCTCCGCCTCGTCTTACCATTCAGCAGCGTATACACAAGAGGGTTAACATATAGGACGTTGACGCCAGCTGAGGTCACATTCTTAAATAGGTACACCACCGGCAAAGGTCAGATTTTCCTTCCGCACAAGGTGAACAAGGTAATTCATTCATGTTTTTCACTTCATTTTCTTCCTTAAATTGCAAATAATGCAATCAGGTTGTTAGCACATTCTCTTAGTTATCATTAATGTGTTATGTAGTTCAGTATACATGTAGTGTTAAAGGTGTCTTTGTGTCACATCCAAGTACGTATAGACACATTAACTGTTTATTGACGCAGTCTTGCAAAGACAAAAATATCATGTAGTACGCTTGTTGATAGTGTGCATAGTATAGATATCTGTGTGTCTGTCTATAGTATTTTCCTATGCATGATAATGTAGCATTCAGTTATCGTTAAATCTTGGCCAAGCAATATGTATCTACATTGTATCATCACGCTCGCTACAAAGTTTCACAAGATATTGACGTAATGTTTAAGCATATATTTGTTTTCTCTCTTAGAAGCCAGTCACTCCTTGTCAACTACAGCAATCCAATCCTAGTTATTTTAATAGTTGTCATTGTAGGCACAGGGAGTGACAAGAGGCGTACGACGAAACATGTGTTTAAGACCAGTGAAATAAGACTTTGTGCGTTTTCTAATAGAAGTGTTAAAAACACACTCCGTATTGTGTCTCTGACCTTAAAAACACAATACGTCCTATTTCTGTGGTCTGTTGATACGATTTCTCTAGAAAAATATGTCGCAGTGTGTTTTCTAGATAAATGACATATGTCTGTCTGGGCCAGAGGAAACTCGGGCTACGTTTCTTGAAGTGTAAGAAATACAGATGCGTTATTAGTCTGGTTAATGTTTGAGATTGACAACCGACAAAGATGGCATCCCAGAGACGTATGTTTAGATATAATCCCCGAGACGGTCGAGCATCGGACCCTGACCGACTGAACAACAGGAAAGCTGTCACGCTATCTTACGGTCCGAGGTTCACAGATACAAAAATATAGCAACCAAGTGTATAGACATTTAACTTTACTTAATGGGATTTGACGTGACGGTGAGAAAACGGGACGATGAGCAGGGTTACTTTAGCAATGAGTAGTATAAGTGTATTAGTGATGTAGTAAAAATGGATGTCCGAGATATATATGGAAGTGTTATTGTTTAAGTGGATCGCGTTGCACTTGTATGGTATACATACTTACCTTCAGATCAGTTTACTTTAAAATAAAATGTATTATATCATACAATAAACAGAAGTGGTTAATGACGTACGAAGGAAAGCGCTAGCGTTGCACATTTAATATCAAAGTAGTTAAGTGTGTACGATGCAGGCGTGTAATGTTTTAACAGCTTAACAACTAAATATAAAGAGTTGGCTACCGCAGGAATGAAATGTCAATACAATTTTATCACAAGATGATGACATAAAACCTTCACAATGGTCAGAGACATAATTAACACCATTGCCGAGTGTTTGCATTGATACAACCGTGTATGAGTGTATGGTTTTACCCAATCACCCCTAAAGTCACATTTAAACCTTACCTAATCAAGGGCTGGGCAAGTTCATTTTAGATATGTAGGGTGAATTAGTTAAAGGTCAGAAAAGAGAACGTTTGGCGTCAGGATATAGAACGCTGTTAATCGACGACAGACCGATATAAAAAAAAGTCGATAAAACGTCCGAATAATCCGGACTAACATGGTACATGCAAGCAGAGACGTATATTACGTCTATGATGTACAATGTAAGCATACGTAAATATTACACCATATCACAAGATACCTGTACAACGTTCATGGTCTGTAACAGCCAATCGCATTGTACGGGTGGACTCCAACAATACGTCTTACAGTGTTATCAGCGATATATTTCGCTATGTAATACAGAGACACGGTGCAAACCATACACAAGGCAGATACCAACGAAGGTGTCCTCACCAGGGTTCCCTATATACAGGTAAGGTGTTAGGTGTATGCTAGGTGAGATTTGGTGCCAGTTAGAGAACAATAAGATTTAACTACAGGTAAACTATGGTCTGTACTTTAAAGTATCTTACCATGTATGTATACAATGTAGGACTGTATACATAGAGAAAACAGTACAATAATGAACTGTGATGTTGAACTCTGTTTATTTATAATATTATTTGTTAATATGTCCTTTTTCTGGTTACACCTTTTATATCATTTCTCACTTCACTTAATATGATACATTTTGTATTAATATATCATTTTGATAGCGACTGTCTTATGAATAGAAATTGTAATTTACAATGATAATTGGACTCAATAAAACAACTAAATCTTGTATGTTACATTTTCCCGTAAAACTAACTACATACGTGTATAACGTTGCTTGTGCGTATGAATACATGTTTTCAGAGTTTACATAAGGACACTATACTGACACATATTATACTCATAAACTGTTTTTGTATTTTATTATATCATAAATATTGCTGTAGCGTTAATATATAAACCAGCACAAGTTCCAGAATAAAAACATAGTATAAAGATATAATTTTGCAAGTGTTAATTACGGTACAAATCGTGTTAATTTGAATATGAATGCAATTCATCAATACCTACATCGCAGTTCATTTAATTTGTCTCAAGACCAAATCAATTCCCCACCCCATGAAATAAAAAAGGAAGAGTCACTCCTTAAATAGTATTTATAGAATAAAGAAGTATCTTAGACTTATATAATAAAAGAGCCTATTTGAGATATTGTAGTTCTATGAGCCCCGTATTGTTCCATTACGATTCATCAACAGCTAATGCCATTTACAGAGGCGTGATATACATGTACTGTCTTTCACAAGGGCTTTTTATATCAACGGTTTATGCATTTGTATTCACAACTTGAGGCCACAAAGTAAAAAACAACAAACAAGTCGAATATTGGAATTCTGTAGTTTGTTTTGTGATGTGATGACGTTTGGTATTTGTTTATGAATTATGTTTTTTAACAAATCAATTTCTACTTTTTATTCTTCAGAAATAAGTAACCAGGGTTACAGAATGGCTTCCAAGGATCCACCAAAGGGATGGTCTGCAAAAAAAACGTCTGACTTCCAGTTCCGGTCTAGAATTACCGTTGCAGCAATTGCCATCTATTTCTTGGTTGGATATAATTTCTTTCCGTTTCAACTTCCGGTAATGAATTCGATCACTGAGAGAGTAGTTTTTACGTTACGATGGCAACTACTCGGGGGCTTGACCTTGTTGATGGGGATGATGGGGGTCATGGCCGTTCGGGGTCAAAGCGACACCGCGGCGGATCCCGTGAAAGGAAATGCGGAACATCTGACTCAACTTCCGCAGAATATTCTACAGAACACACTGGAACAGTTCATCTTTCATTTCGTCGGACAAATCGTCCTGTGTACCTACCTGTCTTCGGAATCGATGAAAGCTATTCCTTTACTCGTTGTTCTTTTTGTCGTTGGAAGAATCCTCTACAAAATTGCCTACGAAATGGATCCTATGAAGAGGCTGTATGGTTTCTTCCCTACGTTTTTACCTACCATTGCGACCTATGCGTACTGTCTATATTGCTTAGTGATGTTGGGACCGGGCTATGGATTTGAAAAGTGATGACGTCATCGAACGACAGAGCGTTGTGCAGATCATGAAAAACTAACAATGAAAATATTACATATTCATATGTCCAAAATTCCAGTTATGGCTTATTGATTCGTGATGTATTGTCAGACTCTTTTGTAATAAATTTACTTTCTAATACAATTTTTAAAATGGTTATTGTGATGTTTCATTATTTAATATATTGGAACCACATGCTAACACTTTAAGGGTGGGGTCAACATTTGAAATTCCAAGCGGGGTCGACGCTGATGTTAAATTCCCCTGGCATAGGCGTTGACCCTACCGTAGTAAGAAATCACCGAAGATGGCTGAATTATACTGGCAAAAACGTAGGTCCTCACAAAAGGTTGTGTTTCAGTTATTACACGTAGAGTAAGATGACCTATTTCTGACACTGACAGAAATATGTCTACTCGGTCCTAATAAGCACATACATGTAGAAACCAGTCTCATATGTAAACAACATAGACTAAACGATGGGGCACATATGTCGACTGCTGACGGACAAACTTACGTTACAAGGTTTCCAAAAACACAGTTGATGAAGACTTGTTGTCGAGTTTGTGGTCACTATACTGATCGCGTTGGGAGATATGCCATTTGTTTGAAGGTCGATGATTTTTTGTCGCTCAATAACGTGCCTTGTGGTTTTGTTATCACTACCCGAGGTCTAGATGTGAGGTCGTGACGTTACTTGGAATTGACTTAGATTGATATGGCGGGGGTTGTCGATGAAGCAGAAGACGCCTACTCATCCGGAACACCTGGTCTTATTCTCCTTGTCTTGTATATTTAAATTTTGCCCTAGTACCGGGATAATATCGATTGTGAGTTCGAAATGTGGTTTCGTTAAGACTTCAGTATTCTCTTATTTTTTTGTTCCTATAAACACAACCATTCTCACAATATCCTTCATATCCGTGCTGGCCTCCCGAATCATTTACAGGATATGCATGTATGTGAATATTTCTGGTAAACGGAGGTTTTTTTTACCAAGTTGTCCGATATTCTGCGATGTGCGAAATATCGTTTAGTACAGTATATATACGATATAGGTCAATTTGGCTTTTCATTATAATCCCGGGATTGCAAGTTCGAACCCGAGTTTGTAGACTCAACGAAAATGGAACAAACAAAAAACAAAAAAACCTTCAACCATTCTCCCGACATAAACATGTCTCATGTGTGATGGTGTTGTTTTACATGGACTCAAGATTTCTTACACACAAACAGCATAATAATTTTCTATGATAATGGTGTTGGTATTTTTACAACCTTATCGGCTCATACTGAATTTGATTAACAACTTAATGATTGTGAATTTTCCTATTTGACTGTGTAAAATAAACTACATGTATTTCATATGTGACTAAATGCATCGTGTAGCCTACAGCAGAATCTCAAAACAAAGATGCCTGACATATATTCTTTATAACATTTACCGTCTTACTAAACCACACCGCTTATCATCAGTATAAAAGTTATACGCAGGAAATATCGATTATGACGTCATAATGACTGATAAAGTTGTACGCAGGTTTTGGGTGCTGGGTTTGGTCTCGATAGTTAGAAAAGGGCCAGAAATGGGCGTTATATCATAGAAATGTTGATAGGACGTAAAACACAAACAAACAAATAATGGTTCTAATAATGACACTGAGTAGCGGGTTCTGTTAGCTTTGTTATGCATTTAGAAGAGCCAGAGATAATACGTTGTTTACAAGGATTCTTGTTAAGTTTCGGAATTTGAACATACGAGGAATGTCTGTATTCTTACCATGATTTGGTATTCGGATAGATTGTGATACAGAATGGAGATTTGAATGTTTGGTTCACCGCGGCATGACCGATTTTGTATTTTATGTTTTAGAGATTTTTGTGACGCGTATCATGATCCGTAAACATGAACCAATACCTTAACTTCGAAAATCATATATTCAAACATATTACCGTACAAATCATGATCTCCCAAAATGCAAGAGCCATCTTCTTCGTGTGATGTTTTTGTCCTTTTTCACGTTAGAAAAACTCCAAAATTCATTGATAAATTTGAATTTGAAATATTTAAACCAGGTGAAATAACTACCGTTTCTCTGTGACATCTTCCTACTCACCTATGTGTTACAGATTGAGTGAACCCTTATTTTTTTGTCAAACTTGGTCACATATGACACTTAAGTATACACTGTAATCTACCGCTAGCAGTGTACACACGAGAAGGTCAACATTTAGGACGATGGAGTCAAAGGTCACAAACTGATAGTAGGTCCACCGTCAGCGGTCGACACACCTACAGATTTTCCCTCTGTGCAAGGTAAGCAAGATAATTCTTTTAATAATTCAATCACAATTATACTCTAAGTTATCATTATACATACCTTAGGCAGTAAAGTGTTTTATAAATGTCGTCAAACTGTGTATAACATCTTAATGTGTACGTTGACTTTCATAGGCAGAGCCATGCATACACACGATTTACTACGCATACATAGATGGTGTCTATATGCATAGTGTGTGTGTGTGTGTAGCATTTATCATTTGCTTAATGCCGTTGACACTTGGCCAGACAGTACATAGATGGACATTGTATCAAACGTTTCTAAAGCTATCAATATAAATAAAAGTATACCTTTTTCTGTGCTATACCTCAGTTTTCCCTTGAAAACTAGTTGTCATTTTAGGCACAGGGACCAGATAAATAATACGCAGTGTTTTCTATAACAAGAGAAACAACATGCAGTGTTTTTTTAACCAGAGAAACAAAACGCAGTGTATTTGCTAAGACCGTTTCTGGATGTGTAAGAAATACAGACGTATTATCAATCTGGTTAAAATCTGAGATTAACACCCGACAGAGATACATATTAAATTCCCTAGATTATCCAATCCTAAAGGTTTATTTACTCTTGGTGTACAATAGGAAAGCTATCGTACAGTGCCCCACGTAGTACTGATACCCGGCCTATTAGCAATGTCCCGTCGACAGAAGCTACGTTGTCGCACCTATGGCCCGTGGTCCCTGAGATTCACACACGTGTATAGACATGTACGTATACGTAGCTTTAATTGAATGTCACTTCAATGAAAATCGATGTGTGAGAAAGTGGGACGATGTCAGGCGCGTAGGTAGCCCCTTTACCATGTGTAAGCCCCGACATGGGGTTGCCAAAGCCACCGCCCCCCCCCCCCCCCCCCNGGAATTAACGGGAGTGGGTCTTCCCCCTCCCGTAAAGGGGGTCTGGGGGGTCCATGAAAATTTTGTTTAGAAAAGAAATGTATTGTCTTTCATAAACTAATAACCAAATCGTAAACAAGACCGTAGTTTGGGTATTACTGGACCTTTGAGGTCGAGAGAGTTAGGGGCCGGACGAGCCCCCCCTGGGGCAAATCCGGCCCCTACCAGGGCAAGTATGGCATGAAGGATAGAGAAGTCAATTTACTAATAAGTGTATGGAATTTCATTCAATTCTGTTGGAAAATAAGTACAGAACAAATCAGTGAATACAAAGAAAAAAATGCTTAATTTTTGCGACGTAAAAATATTATTTTTTTGGTCAATTGTGTGACGTTATCAATAGTGACGTCACTTGGCACAGTTGCATTCGGGGTGGCCGAATGTGCCCCGGCAAAAGGGACCGAACGTGCCCCAAATTGATATTTTCATAAAAAAAACCACATTGATTGTCTGTGTCCACTGTGCCATACTCGGAGTCGTTTGCGCCAGGCGTGAGTTTCTCAATTTACTCAATCGAGCAGTTTAGTTCCGCCTGGAACTGTTCATTAATGCAATGTCCATTTCTAAACTTCATACATTTTTGTACTAACTATTAACAATGTATCATATCTGAGGAATTACATATGTATACTATATATTCAAAACTTAAACTCCACTTTATAGTATCAACAAGAAAAAATAACGTCATGAAAACCTATACTTGTCAAAATCATGTGCAAGCCCGGGCTTATTGGCTTACATGGTAGCTACGCGCCTGGATGTCCTATAGATTTTGTGTATTTATAAATACTCGGCAGTAGTAGAGCAATCTCTACCCAGTAAGTAAGTAAAAGGAACGACAACTCTGGATAAAGATCGGTAGAAATGTTGCAAAATTTAAATATGTACGTCCCCTATTTCCTGGGGGAGGATCTGAAATAGACATGGTCTGTCTATGGAAATAGGTTGAGTGTCGTGTTGGGCTATTTTTTTTCTTCTGTTGCAAAACATCTGATAAAACATTTGTATTAAGATAGATTATATTTAATAAATAATAGGCATACTATAGAACTGTTTACGTCATAAATGTTCAGCCAGCTACAAAGAGGTTTTACATGTTTTCTAACGCTATACAAGAGATGTTTGGAAATGTTCGAAAGAACACGTTCGGTACCGACGGATTAAGGCTGATGCCTATAGCATACTTTATCACTACATCGAATGTCACGGTTAGCAAAGTTAATCAATAATGTACCAAGCGATGTGTAAGCGTCGCACATTTACAATAACAGTAGAGAACTGTTTCATGTTATATAGGTACCGGTTTGTCTATACTTTTTGATACAACCGTATATGACAAGTGTGAGTTATCAAATCTACTTCCGATCCCACGTTTGTTCCTTAAACGTTAAAGGTCAGAATAAAGGACGCTGGGTGTGAGGATATGGAACGAGTGCCTGTCGCCCGACAATATAATATTTAACACACAAGTTAAGTGTACAGGAAAGTCCTACACATCACAAGATACAATGTTCACAGTCTATCGGCCGATAACCTAGTACAAGGGTATCCCACAATACGCCTTGTAACAGTGCTACAGAAAGCCTTGCTCAAGTCCGATGTTTTGTCAGGACTGTCGCTGTTGACACACACGTGTAAGACAATTGGTAGGGTAACCCATGGTTTATATAAATGTTACACTATTAGTGTAAATTGCTAGTCCGGTCTGAGGAGCTGCCCACTACGTTCGTAAGAGGCGACATATGAGGGAACCCCCTGCATAATTGGGGATTTGCTTTTGTGCCCTCTACTTGCCGACTCAAAGGCGACCAAAATAAATCTGCTGCACCCATTTCAATAGTTGGTATCTTTACATATATTTGTTTCTACGTCTACCTACCTTTTATTTCCTTGCCTTTTGCTTGGCAACACCACACTTTTGGCTTTTATGTTGAACGTTCGCCTTGATGAGGAAAGCAATGGGTTCTGTCCTAAGGCGGGACATAAAAAAGTCCTTAAAAAGGGTAGTTGTTATTGCCAGTTTGACGTTCAGCACGTAGGGCAGCAACTGGTTCACCTGTTGTCAGTATAATGTAACCAGGTGGAATGCTGTGCTGTGTGCCTTTAGCATGATATTTCAGTGATATAGCACTATAAAATGACATCAAATCCACGCTATCGTAAAGTGGTAATTACACCAGTATACCCTGTCTACAGCACACATACACAAATCGGCGCTATCGTAAAGTGGTAATTACCCCCAACATACCCTGTCTACAGCACACATACACAAATGCACGCGTACACTTACACAACACACATGGAGGCATGTCAGTGAATGACCTTAGCTGTTAATAGGACGTTAAACAGAATAAAATAAAACAAAACCATAACCCTCTGTATTTACATTACTGGGAATCCGTGATGACCGAAGATTCTTGGGACCTCAATATATTTCACATTGTTTACAAATCTTGTCAAATTTCTAAGCCGTAGTTTTGTTGGAGCCTGAATGTTGGCTGACCTTTGACCTTGTCATATAGGGCTCAATACGGGCAGGCTTTTTCTCATGTGCAGCTGCAATGGCATTCGCTTGGTACATAAAGCTGATCTGTACGACTCTCTTTGTTCTCATTTTGTTAATATCCAACTGTGGTGGCCATCATTGATACAATAATTAGATCATTGATGTTTATATATAATCTGGCATAACACTGGTGTGCTATAATAATCAGCACAGTGTCTGTGTCGACAAAATCTGACGTCATTCAATGTTGTTGTTTTGATGTTACAATTGCACGAATAAAAATAAATTGAGATTTCTCACAAGTTTTCTCTTTTAATATTTTTTTCCCATTCTAACTGAATTCACTTATTGTATTATTTATTAACAGTCGGAATATGTACTTAGTTTTAAAACAGCTGCTCGTAAGGAACAGCCCAGCACTGTTAAGGTCAAACGACATAATTATATAATTAGGACAGTAGACGAAGAAGTGCACAACCAGAACGAAACACAATGAGATATCGATAGAACTGTTGCAAGGGACATATTATCATGGCGAATGTCTTCTGAATAGAAATTATAATTCAAAACGATATAATGTTTGGTTTAACGAATGTACATCGTGGCCTGTTCACATGTTACTATTTTGACATCATACTTCCCAGGCAGAAGGTCAGGACTGGTAATATAAGCATAATGTACTGGTATAGACCCTATCACACTGTAAAACGTATAATGAAATAAACTTAAACTCGCCAATTGCAATCACTGGAAGATATCTTCCTTCACCAGTGATTGGTACATGTATCTTTTGTGTGCATGCGTTTAGAAAAACAAAATGGAAATGTTTTGACAGATGGAATGATAAAAGATATTTGTTTGTTGTTTATAACTTTTTACCAATCCATATTTACTTCCTATTCCACAGAAACAAGTAACCAAACGTTCAGCATGGCTTCAAAGAATCCGCCCAAAGCATGGTCTGCAAGCAGAACGTCTGACTTCCAGTTCCGGTTTAGAGTTACCGTTGCAGCAATTGCCATCTATTTCTTAGTTGGATATAATTTCTTTCCTTTTCAATTTCCGGTAATGAATTCGATCACTGAGAGAGTAGTTTTCACGTTGCGATGGCAACTACTCGGGGGCTTGACCTTGTTGATGGGGATGATGGGGGTCATGGCCGTTCGGGGTCAAAGCGACGCCGCGGCGGATCCCGTGAAAGGAAATGCGGAACATCTGACTCAACTTCCGCAGAATATTCTACAGAACACACTAGAACAGTTCATCTTTCATTTCGTCGGACAAATCGTCCTGTGTACCTACCTGTCTTCGGAATCGATGAAAGCTATTCCGTTACTCGTTGTCCTTTTTGTCGTTGGAAGAATCCTCTACAAAATTGGCTACCAAATAGAACCAATGAAAAGGACGTTTGGTTTTGCCTCTACGTTCTTACCTACCTTGGCAACCTATGGATACTGTCTCTACTGCCTAGTGATGTATGGGCCAGGCTATGGATTGGGGAAGTGATGACGTCATCGAATGACAGAACATAGTGAATGTAGATCATTAAATACATCTACTTACAGTACACTGTGTTGACAATTATAAGATTAATAAATTAAATAATGATTAATTAACTCATCACAATTGTTTAATCACGTACCGTCTGATCTGTTTGCATCAAGATGATTTTTTTTTGTTTATTTTTGCATCCTTATTTTTATGTAATTTTTCAAAACACATGATGAGTGTGATATTCAGGCATGGGGCAATTACATTTACAATGTAATTATTTAAATTACACATTACATTGGAAAAGTAGCATTACCATTACCATATCACTGATATTTAATTATATGATATAGGAGAATCGTTTTCAATATAAGAAATACAGTTTTTGTTGTTGTAAGGTCAACTAGTTCGAATATTATCCCAAACGACTGAACAATAGTTGTGTTCATGTTGTCCACAAGAAGCTTATTTCTGTATATAACGGATAGTAAGATTTCTGTATAGATCGTGAGATAGAGAGAGTGTATATTCAATTGTTCCCAGCGCTTACTACAAACATAAACTATCATCAATGACTCTGTCTTATGCAACTGGAAATAATTGGGAATTTGAATAGAAAAAATCTAGACATAACTGTTAAATCAAACATTCACTGTTATCGGTAACGTTTGTTATGCTCAACTATCTTAACCGTTTTGCATGGAAATTGTCTAAAATGTGAAAGTAGCTGCTTTATTATTTTTAAAATGCTGTACCTACATGTATGTAACCAGAATAAACCTTTTTTTATGAAAGTCTGTATTAAATACTTTATTTAACAACGACGACGACGACGATGATGATTGATGACGACGACGACGACGATGATTGATGACGACGACGATGATTGATGATTGATGACGACGACGACGACGATGATTGATAACGACGACGACGATGATGATTGATGACGACGACGATGATTGATGATGACGACGACGACGATGATTGATGACGACGACGACGCCGATGATTGATGACGACGACGATGATTGATGATGACGACGACGACGATGATTGATGACGACGACGATGATTGATGATGACGACGACGACGACGATGATGATTGATGACGACGACGACGACGATGATTGATAACGACGACGATGATGATTGATGACGACGACGACGATTGATGACGACGACGATGATTGATAACGACGACGACGACGATGATTGATAACGACGACGACGATGATTGATATAGACGACGACGACGATGATTGATGACGACGACGACGACGACGATGATTGATGACGACGACGACGATGATGATTGATGACGACGACGACGATGATGATGATGGTGATTGGTGACGACGACGACGTCGACGATGATGGTGATTGATGACGACGACGATGGTGATTGATGACGACGACGACGTCGACGATGATGATGGCGATTGACGACGATGATGATGCTGATGATGATGATGATGATGATGACGATCTCCAATTTAAAAAAGTAATTTGAATAAAATGGGTCGGTTCGAGAAATCAAGGACAGGTTCGCTTCGGTCTCATGTTTTACAGTTTTTAATTAAAGAAAGCGGACATTAGCTTTCAGACTGAACAGGAATGTCGGGCTTACAGGTAAAGTTCTTATTATTGCCAAGCTGAGAACAAGGATTAAATAATATTTTTTCCGTATCTGACGCCTTCTCCAAAACATATAAGACGAATTCGTCTGTTAAATTTAGGATTGAATCTTGAATTTTGATCAATTTCATTGGGTGATGAATTGAATTGGTCTTGAAACAAATTTAATGAACTGCGAAGCTACTTTTTTTCTTTTTCTTTTGCATCACATATAACAGTTGGAGCTTGGAAATGGATTTTATATGATCCGTTTCATAATATAAAGCGTTGGTACGAGCTTATAATGGTTGTCTTGATATAATACGTACAGATTCTTCTTGGGATGTCTCTACCGTATACGTTCGACAATATCTTACCTCGATAAGGTTTTTTATATAAAAATTGTTGTTACTTGAATAAATGTTTCGTAAATTCTCAAAAAATACCATCGCTACTTAGTAGAATCTAAGGTTTCCCGTATAACTGTCGAAAACTATAACTTGGTGTTGCAAATTATTATTCCTAATATGACTACAGCTTTGATAAATCATTTCTGAACAGCAAACCATACCTTGTGGGTCTTATATGAGAAATAATGAAGATGAACTAAACAATGTATAACCAACAACAGTGTTTTGAGTGTCAAAGGTCAGCCAGGTTAGACCTGGATTCCAACACTATGACTTCAGATTGTATACCATTGATACACCGTGCTAGTAAACGGTTAAAGGGAGGTAACTGTTTATACGATTAGGAATTCGTTGGTCTCTCATCAGGAGTGTTAGTCACATTGACGTGATTCCTTCACTTTACTTTTAGTAACTGCTAAATGTTTATAATAATCAGTAAAGATACGGAATTTCTGTCAAAATCTAATTCTAATCGATATCTTTTATATATAGTATAGATACTCAACCATGTTTATATCGTGCTTTTACCATCCCCTAATTCAAAGCTTCTTGCATTTTAAGACAAGACTTTTGTATCATCTGCAAATGGACGAGATTCGAAGAAGCCACGCAAAACTTGTTTTTCTATTTAGGTTATAAAATAAACGTTAATTTAATGAACAAACAAAAACCGAGGCCTACGTGGGGCAGTCGCCAGGTACTCGTGAATTTTCACCTGTAACTCCGGCTTTCTCCACCACGTCCTTAAATGATCAGAGCTGTTAATAGGACGTAAAACACAAACAAATCAAAGCTATGTTAAATATTACAATGCTCTTTTGTACTGTATAGCGCTTACTGTTCGTGGGGTACTTATTTTCACTATGATCGCGGTCTGGCGTTGCAGAAAAGGGAAATGTCCCAAACTCTTAATTAATTCATTAAACATGTACCTTAAGGTTTGCAGATAGGCTCTTATTTACATTCGAAGAACTATAAGGAATTGCTACAGTACCTGTGACACGCGTCTGAAGCCACTGCGTTTTGATGTTTATATGCATTAGTGAATTATATCAAGCTCCATTTTATTAGGTCACCTGAGACAAAGTCTCAAGTGACCTATTGCGATCGCCTTTTGTCCGTCGTCGTCCGTCGTCCGTCGTCCGTCGTGCGTCCGTAAACAATTTACCTTTTCGACTTCTTCTCCAAAACCCCCGAACCAATTTCAATGAAATTTTGCAGGGACCTTCCATGGACAAAGGTCAACAAAAATGGTTGCCGGTTTAGTCCTAAGCCCCCAGGGGCCTGAGGGGCGGGGCCAAAAAGGGTCAAATTGACTAAAATTTCAAAAATCTTCTTCTCCAAAA